TGGTGCTGTCCCTGCTGAGTCTGGAGCTGCCGCGCGGCCTCGGCCGTACTTCGTTCCGCTCCTGCAGTAGGTTCTTGGTCTTTCTCCTCCAGTAGAGGGTCCACCGCCTGTCCAGTCGCAGTCCCTACTGGAGCCTTCCTCTCCACTGCCTGCTCCCTCTCCTTACACTGGTCCTACTGGAGGTCTTGCTGAGCGTCGTGAGCCTGCGTCTCGTCCCGCGTCGCCTGTTCGTGCTGCTCGCGCTAGTGGTCGCAGTTTGCGTCAGCGTCCTCCTCCTGTCCCTGGCACGCACCGGATGTCTCTGCGTCCGTCCACTGCTCCTCTGCGTGCCCCTTTGCCTTCTCCTCCTGAGTCCTCTCTTCCTGCGCTTGCCGACCCTGAGTCGGACTCTCTTCGCGCTGCGAGTCCTACTGTCACGCGTCTGCTTGCTACTGTCGTCACTGACCCCTCTTTTGAGTCCACTGCTGCGTCTGCTCTAGTCGCTGAGCTCGTTGACTTTGCTGCTCGCTGTCGTCTCGACTACGCTGCTAGTCTTGTTGCTGAGTCTGCGTCTGTCTGTCCTCCGTCCGTCGGGGGTGAGTGTGCTCTTGGCACGGACGTCCTAGAGGACAGGCAGGAGGAGTTACAGTGTCTAGCGGCTGCTTCACCTCATCTCGCGTCTGTACTGCTTGCCCCTGAGGGAGACCCGGATGCACTAGACATCCCGACTCCGCGTTCTTACGCGGAGGCCGTAGAGGGTCCCTACTCCTCTCAGTGGCAGGCAGCTATGGATGCAGAGATGGCTTCCTGGAAGTCCACAGGCACCTACGTTGACGCGGTTCCCCCTCCTGGGGCGAACATCGTCAGTGGCATGTGGATCTTCAGGGTGAAGCGGCCGCCGGGCTCTCCACCTGTCTTCAAGGCACGGTACGTTGCTCGTGGCTTCAGTCAGCGGCAGGGAGTTGACTACTTTCAGACCTTCTCTCCCACCCCGAAGATGACTACTCTTCGGGTGCTGCTGCACATAGCCGCTCAGCGCGACTACGAGCTTCACTCTCTCGACTTCAGCACTGCGTTCTTGCAGGGTAGCCTGCACGAGGAGATCTGGCTTCGCCGTCCACCTGGCTTCACTGGGACTTTCCCTCCTGGCACCCAGTGGAGCCTCCGACGGCCAGTCTACGGTCTCCGCCAGGCACCGCGTGAGTGGCACGACACACTGAGGACTACGCTTGCGGCTCTTGGGTTTGCTCCTTCTACTGCTGACCCGTCGCTGTTTCTTCCCACCGACACTTCCCTGCCGCCGTTCTACATCCTCGTGTACGTCGACGACTTGGTCTTTGCCACAGCGGACACTGCTGGACTCGCCTACGTGAAGTCCGAGCTGCTGAAGAGACACACGTGCACAGACCTGGGTGAACTGCGCAGCTACCTTGGCTTGCAGATCACTCGGGACAGAGCACGCCGCACCATTACCTTGACTCAGTCACACATGGTGCAGCAGGTCCTTCAGCGCTTCGGCTTCACGTACTCCTCGCCTCAGGCCACTCCTCTGCCTACTCGCCACTCACTCTCAGCTCTGCCTTCGGATGAGTCCGTAGAGTCGAGTGGTCCGTATGCAGAGCTTGTTGGCTGCCTCATGTACCTGATGACCTGCACACGACCTGACCTTGCATACCCTCTGAGCATTCTTGCACGCTATGTTGCTCCTGGGAGACACAGACCGGAGCACATGGCTGCAGCGAAGAGGGTATTGCGCTACCTGTGCAGTACGTCGGGCATGGGGCTAGTGCTTGGAGGGCGGAGTCCAGTGGTCCTTACCGGCCACGCGGACGCTTCTTGGGCTGACGACCAGGCTACGCAGCGGTCGTCACAGGGTTACACCTTCAGCCTTGGTTCCGGCTCTGTCTCGTGGCGGTCTACTCGCTCGTCTTCGGTTCTCGGCTCCAGTTGTGAGGCTGAGATCTACGCCGGGGCCATGGCTGCACAGGAGCTTCGCTGGCTCACCTACCTGCTGACTGACCTTGGAGAGCCGCCTCGTTCTCCTCCAGTGCTGTACGTAGACAACAAGGCTATGCTGGCCTTGTGTCGAGAGCAGCGCTTGGAGCACAGAACGAAGCACATTGCTCTCCGCTACTTCCTTGCTCGTGAGCTGCAGCAGCGTGGTCAGTTGCGACTTGCGTACGTGGCCTCTGAGGCCAACACTGCTGATGTGTTCACCAAGGCACTCACGCCTTGTGACCATCAGCGCTTTTGCACCCAGCTGGGTCTTGTGCCTGTCTTGCCTCACTTTCTCTCCTCTTGACTTCACTTGTACTGTGACATATATATATGCCTGCTCTTGTTTGTCTAGTTTTATATATATGTCTGTACTCCTGCATGTGAACTGGCCTCTGGCCCTACTCTTGTGCTTGGACTGTGTGGTGACTTTGTGATCCACCCTGAGCTTGCTTTGCTTTGCTTGACTGGTCTTGTGACCCCTTGTTCTCCCCCACTTTGCCTATGGGGGTGTGTCAGATTTATATGACATAGTTGCTGTAGGCTATAGTGGGGTAGCACATATGGGGTACAGGGTTTCTAGGGTTGTATTTGTACCCAATCTTTCCTTAGTCATTTCATTCCTGTTTTCTTTACTTCACAAGGCTCTGCAGCTGCCGTATCCTTATAAAAAAGCACCATCCACTCCCACCACGGTGGCTTAATCACCGTCCCCCCATCCGAAGCGGAGTCGCCCTTGTCGATTTGCTTCCACAACGCCTTCAACCGCTTCCACTGGTTAGTGCATGCTAAGGCGTTCCGACTCCAATCAGGGTGTTGCAGTTTGATATGCTCGATTAGCCGGAGCCAATACTGCGACCCCTGCTTGCCCGTCATCTGTTGCAGCTCGTCCTTCGTAAACCACCGCGCGGCCACGAGAACGGTCGACTCCTTGGGTGACCACTCCGGCCGTTGGCCTTTCTGCGCAATGCCGCTCACTGACGTCTCGTTAGGCAACTCTGGCTGTGCTTTAGCCCTGCCGTCATGCTTCGCCCTGGCGCGTGGGCTCGGATCAGCCCCGTCCCGAACAGCGTGGGTGGCGTTCGCGGTCTGCTCGGCCGGACCGTTGTACTGAACGTCCCCATGCCATGCAGCAACGGGATGTTCCCCGTCCGACCCTTGCTCCAGATCCTCGTCCTCAGAGTCCTTCTCCGGAAAATCCTCGTCAGTGTCGTAGTCGGTCACGTGTGGACCTTGAGTGCGATGCGGATTGACGGTCGATTGCGCTGGCGTTGAGCCGGTGGCATGCACGTTACGAAGGGGCTTCGTGGTAGGTCTCCCTGATGCAAGTTCCGCATTCATCCACTTCACGTAGGCCAGGTCTTCCGGTCGCCACAAGTATTCCTCTGTCGCGGCGACATTGCTTTTGCGTTTGCGAGCCATGCTAGGAAGTTTTAGTGCCTGCATAACACAACCTGCGTGGTCGAATGAATTATGTACGCATGTGTCGATCCTGGTGTTTGAGTTCGTTTGTGCGGGTTTGTTTGTGAGTGAGACGGGAAACTCTGAACGTGCTGGCTAAACGTGGCGTGAAAGAGGCGCCAAAGATCTTTCCCGTTGCGCCAATCATCCAATGTTTGACAAATTGTGCAACTATGGCACATCCAGACGTGCACAGACCAGGCCACGTCACCTTCGTGCGCAGGTTAGGATGTCGGCAGACAGGCAATGGCATCTGCATGCGGGTCTACTCCAACCGTGCACAGGTGAGTCAGCACGACCATGCGAGGCCAAGCGAATGTTGTGATTTGTGCGCAGTTTCGGTACAGGGCTGACAAGAGGTGTTGTATAACGTTGTCTGCAACTTTTTCATTATCTGATATGAGGTAGCTCTGATAGGAGGCCGTAGGAACACGCCCTTACTTTGCCCTCACATACTAGCGCAAGGTGGTTCAAGGACTTTATTCAACGCTTCCGCTATTACAACATCTACTCAGACTTTAACTCTACAAAGATCCTAGGGCGTTTCAGCCCAACACTCCTTAGGAGGGGGGGTAGTGTAAGGAAAATTCCTTTTCCTTACTTCGCATCCCTGCTCAACGCGTACATCACTGTAGCACCACAGTCAGCACCGTTACCACTTGCAACCCTCACATCGACAATCCGCCCGCCACCTTCGCACATCGCACCCCGACCTCACGGCTCGGCGAGTAACCCGCGCTCTGGGCCTCCGCTTCGACACTTTTTCCCAACCACAGTCCCAGGCCCGTCGCGCGACAACCACAGTCCATTACCATTACCACTGTAGTTTCGCTATATATTCTTCGCTCATTGTACTCTTGCTTCGATAGTGCAATTCTCGTTCGTTCACTCAATTGCACTCGTAACATTTAGAATAACAACACTAACAAGATGTTGTAATAATGAGTATGGATGCAACAACAAAGGGCACACCTAGTTGTAATAATGGAATAACACCTCACTTCCGAGGAACATCGGGTTCAATCAGAGGGAGATTTGGTCGCAGCAATAAGTCTGAACATAGGAGGTTCTTCAAGAAAGAATTAGGCCACTTATAGCATTATTGTATAAAAAGGAGTGAATCTTGTATATTACTTCACCAAAAATATATGTGAGCGAAGTAGGTTGTTTATTAAAAGTTCAGGCGACTGTATAAATTGATATTGTTGTTAGATATAACACACCATGTTCCAATGGATAATAGCTAGTCTGTCTTAACCGCTTGGAAGACTAAGAGTACCTAGCTCTGGGAGTCTGTAATTCATATCTCTTCTGACGAGTTGGCCGAAGTGTAACTCATGCTTTTGCCTGTTCCACGCCAGCAGCGAGTTCCTCTACTATCGCACCTATCGCACTGGACCAGAGAGTAGTAACTCTTTCGCGGCTCGCGGTCTCCGCATATCATTTTGGCTGGACGAAGTGGCCGGAGATTACAAGGGTGTATTTGAGAGGTCACAACGGCGCAGTTACTTGTCACGCTTCTAGCTCCAACGCTCGCAATTCTTCTCAACGACAAATTTTCCGGAATGCACGGAACATCTGCTACCGGCATGAGTCTGGCCGGACCGGCAGGATTTGGTACGTAGAACGTTAAGTCGTAGAATCTGACGACGGCAGTTCTCGGAGTACACACCATCACTGACGCCTCGTCGCACAACACTGACGCCTCGTCGCACAGCACTGACGCCTCGTCGCACAGCACTGACGCCTCGTCGCACAGCACTGACGCCTCCTTCCCACTTCCCCCTCCCCACTCTCCCCCAGGCGGAGCCCCTGTTACCTGCGCCATCGTCGTCCTCTCCGCGCTCTCCTCCCTCTTCCTCCCCCTCGGCCCGCGCGCCGCCCTCGCCGCCCTCTCCTACCCCGCGCTCTTCCTCCGCCACCACTTGTGGCGCATGCTGCTTGCGCCGCTGCCCTTCCCCGCGCTTCCCGCGCTGCTGCTGGGCTGCGCGCTGCTCTTCCTGCTGCGCACGCACGAGCGCCAGATGGGCCCCTGCAAGTTCACCGTGCGTGGATTGGGTGCTTGGGGGAAAGGGGAGGGGAGGGGTTGTTTCGGTGGGGGGGAGGTGGGGGGAGGGGGGGGGAGGGTGAGGGGGCTTTCCTGGCTCTGGTGCTTTCTCATCCCACCGCTGCTCTTCCTGCTGCGCACGCACGAGCGCCAGATGAGACCCTGCAAGTTCACCGTGCGTGGGTAGGGGCTTCCTTGGGGGGAATGGGGAAGGGGAGATTTCCCAGGGGAGGTATTCTAGTGCGAACTATCCAGAGGAGGTTTCCCAGGTGTGTGATTTCACAGGGGGGTGAGGTGAGTTGCCTTGAGGGATGAAATGGCTTGATTGTCAGGGGGTGTGTACGCATGTTCTCTCTAATTCCTGCACCAGATGGGCCTCTGAAAGTGTGCCTCGCGCCTCTCTCGCGCCTGTCTCCCTCTCCCTCTCCCTCTCTCCCTCCCTCTCCCTCTCCCTCTCCCTCTCCCCCTCCCTCTCCCTCTCCCTCTCCCCCTCCCCCTCCCTCTCCCTCTCCCTCTCCCTCTCCCTCTCCCTCTCCCTCTCCCTCTCCCCCTCCCTCTCCCTCTCACCTCTTCCTCCCCGAGCAGGTGTTTTGCCTCTTCTCCATCCTCGTCTCCTCCACACTGCAAGTCCTCTTCCTGCTGCTCACAGGTACTAGGTACTCTCCACGCCTACTAGGGTAGTACCCTCCCTTCACCTATTCTTGAGACGCCTCAAAACTCCTCAAAAAATGCACCATCGTCTCCTCCATACTGGCAGCTGTGCAGCTGGCAGGTTGACACCGTTGCCCTTTCCTCCTCCCAGTTTTTGTTCTCGCCTTAGAGTTTATACTAGGGTCGCTTGAGCACTGCCATATGCACAGCACAGCACGTACACACACACATACACCCTCCTCGAAACCGCATGTTGCTGGCGTGGTCTTCGCCTTTCCATTCTCACAAAGCGGTCCATGCATGTATTAGCAACCAGAAAATACAAACATGCACGAGGGATATGGGACATACACATGGGACATACACATGGGACATACACATGGGACATACATCTCAGTTACAAACCAGCCTCTTATCCCACCCACTCCCTCGCTCCGTCTAAGGCCGTATCCCTGGGTGGTGGTAGGGCCACTGTAGATGGCAGGCGGGAAATGCGCATGCCACGAATCTGTATATCGCGGGGTAGGTTGGTGTAAAAAAAATCTAGCGCATGCGCCTCGCGAGTGATTGGTTGTGCGTTAATGTGAAATTGTGGACCGGGTAACATGACCCAGTCGGTTGGTGTTGGTTCCTCAAATCAAGTGGGGGTGTAACCGCCTATGCGACGAGAGAGGATTCGTATCCGTGCTGTGGTTGGTGGCTTCAATTCGGGTGCGTTAGTCGCCAAATGTGTTTCGATTGCCACCAACTGCGAATCGCGCGCGACTCGGGCCAAAAGTTGATGGCATGCGGGAAAGCCGCATGCCATCAACAGTGCCAGCTACAGCTGCCCTGCCACCACCCACCCAGGGATACGCCCTAAGGGAGCGCCGGCGTGTTGCTGGCGTGGTCTCCACCTTTCCATTCTCACTCCCTCTTCCTCCTCACTCGCTCCTTCTCATTCCCGACCAACCCATTCACCCCTCCAACCCATCCGTCTGCCCATCTCCCCATCCCTATTCTCCTTTTCCCCCCCATCAGGCCCACCAAATTCTCTCACTCTTCCACCCTCCTCCTCCTCCGCCGCCGCCGCCTCCTCACCCTTCTCCTCCTCCGCTCTCTCCGCCCCTCCCGGGGTTCTCACACTCTCCCCCGGTCCTTACGCACTCATCTCCGCCCTCCTCCTCCTCTCATATGCGGACGTGCCCCCCTCCACCCGCTTCCTCCTCTTCTCCCGAATCCCCTTCACTGATAAGGCCCTGCTCATACTCGCAGGCTTGCAGGTGCGTGTGAGGACACGGTTGGAGGGAGGGACGGGGGGAGGGAGGGAGGGAAGGACGGGGGGTGGGAGGGAGGGAGGGACGGGGGGAGGAAGGGAGGGACGGGGGGAGGGAGGGAGAGGGTCTGCAGGAGGGCAAGGGCCTGAACAACCGCAGAAGTGACTGCTCTGATACACCACCTCCCTCGCACCCACCTTTCCCCCACCTCCCTCGCACCCACCTTTCCCCCACCGCCCTCGCACCTCCCTCCTTTATCCGGCCGCTCATTCGGTTCTTTTTCGAGAAGTCTCTGAAGCCATTAGTCGGATAACTCTCATTGACCACCACCTCTCTCTCCTCTCTCCAATCCAAAGACCATCAGACTCCTCCCTCCTTTTTCTCGAGTCGACCCAAAAGTCAACTCTCACTGACCACCACCTCTCCCTTTCTCCAAAAACCATCGCAATCCTCCTTCCTTTCTCTGCCCCTCTCCTCCTTCACGCCTTGTGCTTCCCTTCTGACCTTTGAGTCGACTCAAAAGTCAGCTCGCCTTGTGCTTCCCTTCTCCATTCCCCTCACCTTTGCAGCTGTTGCTTCCCGACGGCCTCTCTTCTCTCCTTCCCGGCTGCACAGGCCTCGTTGCTGCTGCGCTCTACCGCCGCACATGCATGCACTCAAGGGTCAACACATCATTGTGTCGTGCTCCCTCTTTCCCCTCCCCTCACCGTCGCAGCTGGTGTTTTCAGACGGCCTCTCTTCTCTCCTTCCCGGCTGCACAGGCCTCGTTGCTGCTGCGCTCTACCGCTGCAACGCCCTGGGGATACGTAAGCTCGCGGTAATCCGATTCGCATCAAACAACACCACCTCTCATCATCCCAAGCACGAGTCCCTCTCCCTGTCGAGGTGACTTTTGAGTCGACTCAGAAGTCAATCACCACCTCTCATCATCCCAAGCACGAGTCCCTCTCCCTTTCGCTGCAACCCCCTGGGGATACGTAAGCTCACAGTAATCACAGTTCAGTTGCATGGCTGTTCTGCCACTTTTAAAGGCCACTTCATGGCTGTTCTGCCACTTTAGAGGCCACTTCATGGCTTTTCTGCCACTTTAAAGGCCACTTCATGGCTTTTCTGCCACTTTAAAGGCCACTTCATGGCTGTTCTGCTTCTACGTGTTCCCTGGGGAGGCATAGGCTCGTCGTGGTCATGTCACAGTATAGTTGCTTCTTGGAGTTTTAAAATCCTGGGTTATGGGTTGTTCTGCTTATACGTGGATTTTCTGCCGCCATGGCTGCTGCTGCAAAACTTTTTCTTTTTCTTCCTTGCCCGCCCCCTTTACTCCCCTCTTCCCACATATCAAGTCTCGTTCCGGATTGCGCTTTCGTTGCAACCAACCACTCCATTTCCCTCTCCTCCAGTGCTCTATTCCTCCCTTCCTTATTTTCTTCCTTCCTTATTTTCTCCCTTCCTTTTTTTTCCTTTTTCCTTATTTCCTCCCTTCCTTTTTTCCTCCCTTCCTTATTTTCTTCCTTCCTTATTTTCTCCCTTCCTTATTTTCTCCCTTCCTCATTTTCTCCCTTCCTTATTTTCTCCCTTCCTTATTTTCTCCCTTCCTTATTTTCTCCCTTCCTTATTTTCTCCCTTCCTTATTTTCTTCCTTCCTTATTTTCTTCCTTCCTTATTTTCTCCCTTCCTTTTTTCCTCCCTTCCTTATTTTCTTCCTTCCTTATTTTCTCCCTTCCTTATTTTCTCCCTTCCTCATTTTCTCCCTTCCTTATTTTCTCCCTTCCTTATTTTCTCCCTTCCTTATTTTCTCCCTTCCTTATTTTCTCCCTTCCTTATTTTCTTCCTTCCTTATTTTCTTCCTTCCTTATTTTCTCCCTTTCTTATTTTCTCCCTTCCTTATTTTCTCCCTTCCTTATTTTCTCCCTTCCTTATTTTCTCCCTTCCTTATTTTCTCCCTTCCTTATTTTCTCCCTTCCTTATTTTCTCCCTTCCTTACTTTCTCCCTTCCTTGCTTTCTCCCTTCCTTATTTTCTCCCTTCCTTATTTTCTCCCTTCCTTTTTTCTTTCCTTCCCTCCGTCCTTCCGTGCATCCTTGCATGCAGATACCTGAGCCTGTGGCGCCTCGAGAGCCGTCCGTCCATCCTTCCCTCCGTCCTTCTGTGTACCCTAAACCCATGCAGATACCCGAGCCTGTGGCGGAGCAAGTGTCCTCCCGGCTTTCCGCTGCTGGTACTTACATAAGTGCCACCCTCGCTCATGCTCTCAGCTTGCTTACGCAGCTCCTGCAACGAGTGATGCAGCAAATGCAGCAGCGGTTGCAGCAATGGCTACAGCAGCAGCAGCAGCAGCGACGGCAGCAGCAGCAAGAGCGTGAGAGGCCTGAACACGAGCAATCACCGTTTCTTCAACAGTCAAGATTGGAGCAGCAACAGCAGCAGCAGCAACAGCAACGGCAATGGCAGCAGCAGCAACGGCAGCAGCAACAGTGGCAGCAGCAGCAGCAGCAACGAGCAGAGCAAGTAACGGAACAGACTCCTCTGCTAGGATACCCTGTATGCCATACCATGCCCTGTGCTGTGATGCATTGCTGGCATTTGAGGCGTCTCAAGGTCTTGCCTCTTGAGACATCTCATACCCTTGAGACGCCCAAGTAACAGAATGGACTCCTCTGCTAGGATACCCTGTATGCCATGCACGCCCTGTTCTGTCCTGTATCGCTGGTTTGTTCATGCCAGCATGTGTGTAGCTTCTACCTGGTCAGCGACCTCTTTTGTGCCTCTGTGCCTCTGTGCCCTAGTGCCCTAGTGCCCTAGTGCCCTAGTGCCCTTGTGCCCTTGTGCCCTTTTGCCCTTGTGCCCTTTTGCCCTTGTGCCCTTTTGCCCTTGTGCCCTTTTGCCCTTGTGCCCTTGTGCCATAGTGCCATAGTCCCCTAGTGCCCTAGTGCCCTAGTCCCCTAGTGCCCTAGTGCCCTAGTGCCCTAGTGCCCTAGTGCCCTAGTGCCCTTGTGCCCTTGTGCCCTTGTGCTATCTTCTCCCATTCTTCCCCTCTGCTCCTTATCTCCCCCCACTCTTGCCCTCTCTGCCAACACACTCCCCCTCCACCCTCCCTCTGTCCTCCCAGCTGCCCGCCTATCTGCACGCGCCCTTACCACCGGCCACCTCTCTTCACCACTTCCCACACTCTTCCTCTCCCCCCCCCTTCACTTCCCTCTGCCTCCTCCCCCTCCCCCGTCTCCCTCCCAGCTGCCCGCCTATCTGCACGTGCCCTTACCACCGGCCACCTCTCTTCACCACTTCCCACACTCTTCCTCTCCCCCCCCCTTCACTTCCCTCTGCCTCCTCCCCCTCCCCCGTCTCCCTCCCAGCTGCCCGCCTATCTGCACGCGCCCTTACCACCGGCCACCTCTCTTCACCACTTCCCACACTCTTCCTCTCCCCCCCCCTTCACTTCCCTCTGCCCCCTCCCCCTCCCCCGTCTCCCTCCCAGCTGCCCGCCTATCTGCACGCGCCCTTCGGCTCGTTCCCCCGGGAACCATCCATCACTGCACTCGTTGCCATGGGTTTCGACCGCAGTGCTCTGGTCTCCATGCCACAACCCTGTGCTTGAGGCTCCTCAGTATCGCACTTACCGTCTGCCCCCCTGGCCTTCCACTACTTCCCCTTGCCCCCCGCACCCTTCCCTCTCCCCCTCTCTTCTTCTCTACCCGTTCCCCCCCCCCCCCACTTCCCCTCTGCCCCCTCCCCCTCCCCCGTCTCCCTCCCAGCTGCCCGCCTATCTGCACGCACCCTTCGGCTCCTTCCCCTCAGAACCATCCATCACTGCACTCGTCGCCATGGGCTTCGACCGCAGTGCCGCAGTGGCAGCGCTGCTGCAATGCCACCACGACCTCACGCTAGCTACCAACCTGCTTGTAGAGTCCCAGCAGCAGGAGCAGCAGCAACAACTTTAGCAGCAGTGGTAGCAGTGGCAGGGGAAGGCATTGAAGTGAGCATGAAGTCACAGCAGTGGCAGCGCTGCTGCAATGCCACCATGACCTCGCACTCGCCACCAACCTGCTTGTAGAGTCCCAGCAGTTGCAGCAACAGCAACATTAGTCATAGCAACAGTAGGAGTGGCATGGTAAGGCCTTGCCAGTGCGCATGAAGCTGCTGCAATGCCACCACGACCTCACGCTAGCTACCAACCTGCTTGTAGAGTCTCAGCAGCAGCAGCCGCAGAAGCTGTAGGGGTAGCAGCACTCTTGGTATGCCAGTGTGTATGGGACGGCGCTGCTGCACTGTCAACATGACCTCACTCTTGTCACCAACCTGCTCATGGAGTCTCAGCAGCAGCAGCCACAGCCGCAATAGCAATAGCTGTAGCAACAGCTGTAGTGGCATGGGAAGGGCCTGCCTGTGCGCATGAAACAACAGCAGTGGCAGCGCTGCTGCACTGTCAACATGACCTCACCCTTTCTACCAATCTGCTCATGGAGTCTATCCAGCAGCAGCGGCGGCGGCGGCGGCTGCATTTGTAGCAGCAGCAACAAAAGCTGTAGCAGCTGTAACAGCAGTAAAATGTGTATGAGCTGTAGCCTGCGGGGCAGATCTCTCTCCCTCCTTGTCAACACTAGCATGGGATGGGATGGGAAAGGAAATGCTGGTGGGCATGCCTGAACCGAACGCAGTATGGCCCACTATCATTCTCCATTCGAGTGGATGCGTGAGTGAAGTATCTTAGCACACAGCCAGTCACTGCAGTGCTGTAGAGCCCACTATCAGACTCTGGTGAATTCATTAAGTACACAATCACGGTGAGACACGACAACTATCATAAGGTATGCTGTGGGGTGTTGGGGCGGGCCACTATCAGATTCATCTTGCTGTTTTTCACTGAGGTTCCATCCGGGTGGATGCATGGTGTGGTGTGGTTTGTGGTGTATATTGAGAGGTTGAGAGTCTGCCAGTCTGCCGCACAGTACAACAGCCCGGCCCGGGACACCGGCTCTTCTTTTTCTTTCCTTGCAAGTCCGAGTCAATAACGAAACACTACTGTGCTGAGCTGATGAGACAACGGTACTACCGTACTACCGTACGTTGAAGTTAGGCTTCGATCTGAAACAAATCACTGCCCGTGCCAACTCTCCACCCAGCGTTGCATGCTACGGTAACATAACATGTGGCTATTGATGGTAACAGTGCATGCACATGTCAAAACTGCAAGCAAGAAAAATAACAGCAGATGAAGGGTTTCACTAGCAAGCAATGGGATACATATAGCAAACCCTAGCAAAGTTGAATTCACTATAGAGTACCCCATTGCAGACTAGACAAACATAACATTCCGACACACCCCCATACGCAAAGTGGGGTATAATCAGCACAGCAAGAAGTCGCATAATAAGTTCACAAGCACAAGTAAAGCTAGTGGCAGACATACGGTACCGTATTACTCCGGATAAAAGCCCAGGTGCGCTTATAATGAAACAAGGTTTTTTGGGGGGGTGCGCTTCTAATTGAGGTGTCTGTATAAGCGCATGCGCCTACAATAAGGAAAAAAATGAAATTCAAATTTAAACATACTAACCTGAACCCCGCAATAAGGCGAATCCAACGGACCATGCAATAAGTGGGATCATGCATGGTTTTCAGGCAAAAACAGGTGCGGTCCGGTTTCCCACCACACAAAGTTGTCTAGAACCATCGAATGTGATAGCAGTGACAGGGATGTTACCGTGCGGCCCAATCACAACCGCATGCGCTGCGTGGCATCTGCATTTCTTCCGAACCCTCTCGAAGGGTGGGGAAGATTCCCTGCGAGCGCAGCGAATATGCTGCCACGCAGGTTTCTCTACGGGGGTAGGCAGGGGTTTCCTGCCTGTCATTGACGAGGACCCCGAGCCGCTAGCCCGCAGGGGTCCCCGTCGTTGCCCATTTCTGCACCCTCCTCATTTTTTTCATTCAGTTTCTAGTCTAGCCCGCCTGGATGGCGAAGCCATGGCGGAATTCAGTGGGACGCACTTCCTTTTCAAAAAGAAACCAACCCTAAACCCTAGACTAGCCTCTGACGATTGGTATACCCGTGAGCCACCAGCGCCTCCAGTGCCACCTACACCTTCTGCACCTCCTGCACCTCCAGTGCCACCTACACCCCCTGCACCTCTTGCTCCTCCCGCTCCTCCGAATCCTCCGACTCCTCCAGTTCCTGACGCGAATTCTTACCATTGGCCCGTGCTCCAACTGTATTTGTCAGCCACTTTCGACGAGTGGCTGTCTGAACCGGATACACCCAAGGCTACGCGAATCGATGCTCCGCCGACTGCACCTAAGTGGGGAAATCCTGAAGCTTGCACGTGGGACGAGTCGGCTGTGGGCGCCGACGATCACGTGGCCGCTGATAAACAACCCACATGCGACGGTGACGCTGGAGGGGATAGTGGAGTCGACGGTGAAGAGGGCGCCGAGGAGGACGTGTTCCCAGATCGTGAAGCTACAGACGCGGACGATGACGGTGTGGAATCTTGGTGGCGCGACGCACCATGCGAGAAGAAGCCGATACCAACGTACCCGCCGATTAACAAAAAACGACCTCACCCCTCCTCTGAGAACCGAGATGCCCGCCCCCCCTCTCCCAGGCACAAGCCGACTCAACACAAACGGCAGCGCTACACCGCCCAAGAGAAACTGAAGTGGCTCGTTTGGCTGGAGCTTGCGGCATCGATAAGCGAGGTCGCGCGGGATTTCGGCATACACCGCAAATGCCTCACAGAGTGGAAAAACCAAGCGGAGAAGCTCAAGGCTGCACACAGCACTCAGTGTCGACTTCATGGGCGCGGAAGGTCTTCTTGGTACAGACCCATGGAGATGAAGGTGTACGCCCAACTCCTGGACTTGCGACGCCGCAGTGTGGCAGTATCAGTCGGCCGCCTGCAAGACTGGTCAAAAGAGGTGACGAAGGAGTTGTTCCCGGATGTCAAGTGGAAGGCAAGTCAGCGATGGACGGAGCGGTTCCGCAAGTGCTGGAATCTCACCGTGTGCATGAAAACAAAGGTGGCGCAAACGACACAGCAGCGTAAGTGCCAGTCCGTGCATTGTCATCCTATCGTGAAATTTTATCTTGTATCTCAGTACTTTCTTGCCCATGGCTGTTTATCTATAGCGGTGCTCATCCGCCCTTTTAACCGTTTTCTCCCTCCCCGTGCGCAGACGTGGCGAAGCAATGCAAGGAAATTTGGCAATTTGTCCGCGACGCATTCCACGAGTACGACATCGACAATCGTTACATCATCAATGCCGACCAGACGCCTTTGTGGCTGGAGATGCCGGCAACTACCACGGTGGAGCAGACGGGCGTGAAGTCGGTACCCATCCGCAGTGGTGGTAACCAGAAAGAGAGAGTCACTGTGATGCTGGCGTGCACGGCGACGGGCGAGAAGTTGAAGCCGTGGGTGTTTTTCAAGGGCAAGACCCTCCCAAAGGGTGACTTCCCGAACGGTAAGAAGTTGCGTATGCACGTGTTTCCAAGGGGAAAAACAAAAGTAAAATCTAACCACCGCTTGCTTGTATGCAGATGTCGTGGTCGTCTGCCAAGCTAACGGGTGGATGGAGGCCTCGGGCGTCATCGAGTGGCTCGATGCAGGCGTGGTGCCGTTCCTGAAACCAAAGTTCGGATTGCAGAGCCGGAGCGCCATGCTGGTGCTCGACTCCTATCGTGGACACCTGACACCCGAAGTCAAGGCGAAATTCGCGGAACTCAACATCGCGCCGGCGGTCATCCCGGCGGGATGCACGGCAAACTTGCAGCCGCTCGATGTGTCGGTCAACAAAAGCTTCAAGGCGAGTGTTCGGCAGCAGTACCAGACCTGGTTCGAGAAGGACGGCATGAACATCCTGACACGTACAGGTACGCAAAGTGTTCTCCCGTGACCGCTTCGTCTGCTTGTCTGCCTGCTTGTGGACTCACGTCTTTCCCACCCCCGTGTATGTGGTGCAGGGGACATCAAGAAACCATCTCTGGAGGTGGTGCTCAAGTGGATTTCATGGGCGTGGAAACTGTGCCCGCCGACCTGATTAAGAAAGTGTTCCTCACCTGCAGCATCAGCAATGCCCTTGATGGGAGTGAAGACGGACTGGTGCTGGCGCACCGGAGAGGTTAGCTGTCCCACGAGGTATAGGTTGATGACGACATCCAAGCAGACGGGTTCTTTGGCAACAACTCCACGGAGCCTGAATCAGACGAGGAGTAGGTCTTAGGCTAGACTAATCTTAAAAATGGTGTGTGGCTAGGATGCTAGTCTAATGCATTTGACTTGAAAATTTTGACGAGAAGTGAGAATGGATGAATGAACTATGAAACAGTTGGGCACAAGTACTAATCCTAATTGAGTTGTACCCCTTATGGGCTACCCCACTACAGCCTACACAAATGTATAAGCTATAATGTTCTGACAAATTTTAGTTGAAGTTTTTAGCTAGAGTAATATAGTTTGTACGTAGGTTGTAAAGAAAGTGAAAAAACAGAAGACATTCTTGTCTATACAGCAAGGGTGCGCTTATAATAAGTAACGTTTTTTTAGAGGGTGTGCTTCTAATTGAGGATCGGCCATAAGCGCATTGCTCCAGATAGAATTGCATTCGCTTAACGTAGGCCTATAGTTATATCCGGGGCGATACGGTAGAGGGCTCGCGAGGAGGAGGAGGGACTATGAGAGGAGAGGAGATTGGAGGCGGCTGCTGAAGCTACTGGCACACGGGCGACTAGAGCAACTGGCGTACTGGCTACCGGAGCAAGGACCCCGGACTACTGGAGTAACTAGCTCCGCGGCTAAGACGAGCGGCTGGAGCAACGGACCCATGGGCGACTGGCGCAACGGGCTCGTTGGCTACCGGAGCAAGGGCATCCGGACTACTGGCGCTGCTGGCTCCACAGCAGCTACCTCCGTTGAATCTCCCCCCATTGCCCCCAACCCCT